GCCGTTTGATAAAAAAATAATAAAAATTCTTAGTGAAGTCTCCTATCCGATAGGGATTATCGTTTAACTAAAAAAATAAAAATAATAAAAATTCTCAATGAAGTCTCCTATCCGATATGGAATATCATTTGACGAAAATAATAAAAAAATTCTTAACGAAGTCTCCTATCCGATAGGAACCGTCGTTTGACCAAAAAAATAAAAATAATAAAAACTTTCAGCGAAGTTTCTTACCTAATAAGGACTATCGTTTGACAATAATAATAATAATAATAATAATAAATATTTCGACGAAGTTTCCTATCCGGTAGAGACTCGTCATTACCGTAAATCATCATTCAATAATTAGGATGTTTTCTAACACATGGTTGTGTCAAGGCCTAAAGTGGATTCGATGTTTGAATCGACGTGTCGTTCGACGAAGAGGACCGACGATCGTTTCAATACGATGCCACGCCCAAAAAATAAAAAAAAAACTTAATTTGGCTTGAAATAAAGGACTTGAAACTTTAAATTGAAAAATAATTTGGCAAAATAAAGTACTTTAGGAGATGAATTTATGACCGACTAGATATGATACCTTTTCGGAATTAGGTGATTAAATATCTTTTCGAAGCATAACCAACTCCTTATCATAGAATCTCTGGACCAATGCCTATTTTTAGGTTCCTAGTTCCTATAACACTTGGTGATGACTCCAAACTTATAAATAACTCGGTAAATACATAAAATCTTAAAATAGATTTTCGGGAGTCCCGTCCGACGTCGGATGGCCACAAATTTCATCATCTATTAACTTGTCAAAAGATATATCCTATACCGATAAATGAACCGCTAGGGTGGATCTTCTTCTTCATTAACCATCTACGCTAAGATGCATATGTCATGACCCAATCTAGTGAGTCGGGACTAGCATGTAACCCCAAGGTAGGGTGACCCACCATAGGCTACGTAACTCTTATTCTTGTCTATTGCCTATTGAAATTTCGATGGCATTTCCTCTATAATTGGAGGGCCCTAAAAATAATATAACTTAGATAAAAATCCACATATGCTTTCAAATCATTCTCTTCAATTATCAAACTTCATCACGTCCATCCATCGGACACCCACACTTTCTTATAAATCTCATCATTTGCTAAATTAAATAATAACCATATAAGTTAAGATTTAACGTAAACAAATCCATAATTCACAACTTAACCGAGTCATAATATAACATTTATGGAAAATCTCAATTAACTAGTCCAGGATTTCGTGATGGTACTTACGGAGCAACTAAGCGAAATAAAATTTACAATAATTGATTACAATGTCAAAATGTACCATGAATACAAAACTAAAACTATCACGTCCTACACCCAAAGAAAGCAAAAATACCGGGTAGTACTTCCAAATTCAAAAAATATATCGTCTTTCTCCCGATATCTAGCTATTGTGTTATCTACAAAACATTGAAGGTTAGGGGGTGAGTTTTCAACGATAAGCATAACACATTATAAATCGTTATACATACAATTTCATATACGCTTTATTTTCATGCAAGAAGCTAACTATTTATATAACTCGTCAATTATGACAAGGCACATATATTACATAATTTGCAACCAATCAAGTCATTAATAACTTATTTACTTTATAAACAATTAATAATAGAATCTAAACTTGAAATTACACAATGCAGAACCGACTATGACCCCTTATTGGGATAACTATAGCTCATGAGGGATAATTATGACCTACAAAGAGGTAAACTATGACTCGTAAATGGTAAACTCTAAGGGAACCACGACAGGCATTCCCTAGCAACATTACTTTTTTTCTATCCAAATATTAAATCTGTCGCTGTCTCACTCCAAAATATACCAAATTATCCGCTTAACAAATCAGGGAAAAGGGGCAAAAGCTAGGATCTTTCTTGAAGTCAAAGCATCCTCCCAAGTCCCAACAGAGGTTAGAAACACAGGCCAAGGTTTTTCCCTGCCTCATGGAATAGTCTGGCTGCACTAGTAAAATGCATAATCAGGTTTGGCGCATATACTGCGTGATCTAAAAACATATTTGCAACTAATATAGCCACAGAAAAACTAGAATAATCAAAAGGAAAAAAAGAAAAAGAAAAAAGAGACTACCTCTTAATTCAGGAGCAAAGTAAAATCAATTTAGGGTACTGTTATAGATTGCATTGAAGAAGTAAACTTACTCGTCTGCCATCAAGTTTCTATCTTTTTCGCCTTGCTCGTACCGCCATATACTTCCAACAAACCTGGCACTTTGTTTGCATATTTAGTAACATACCTCTTCCGGAAATCCTTCTTACCTTTATCAGCAACCGTTGAATATTGAGCTTCAAAATCACTCTGGAAATATCAGCTTCACTAATTAAAGTGATGCTACCTGAAGAAATGGAGAACAGATTGGGCGTTTTGGAGTTTTTTCCGGCTGATTTGGAGCTTCTTGGAGACTGAAAGAGCCGAAGCTAATGGAAGTCCACATGAGGTGATGAGGAACTCAACTGTAAACAAAGATGGTGATGCTGAATTGAGGATTTTTGAGTTTATTTTGTTAGGTACTGGCAGCGGTGAAGATGATGATGTTTGCGGAAAACATTTTTTTATCAAAGAAAACAGATTTTTCATGTTAAACTTCTTTCCTAGAGCAAATTTCTGTTTTTTTTCTTTTCTTATAAAAAACGCAATGCCAGATAAACACACAATCTAAGAATGCCAGATTTTAGATAGGAATTGAGCAGGAAAAATAAATAATTTTTCAGAGACAAAAGGGTTCTGAGGTTGCTAATGCTGTAGTGGAAGAAAAAAATATTAACTTAGAGATAACAGTGGGCTGATACAAAATACATAGGCTGCTCAGCCTACCCATTAATTACTCTTCAAGTTATAAAAAAAACTAAAATAAAACCATAGTTTACTATTTACTCCACTGTTTGAAATACTACTCATCCATATTTATTGGTATTTTTGAAGTGTTCAAAAATTTTTGTAAGACATTTATTATGAAAATTTTTATGACATTATATTTTCATCTCTCTTTTTTTAAATATTGCTTTTCCAGTCGTCAATTTTTTTAGTTTTATTTTGGTCTCTCTTTTTTTGTTTCATTTTGGTCCTTACTTTTTTTTTTTTCTGAGTTTTCAATTAAAAATTGTAAGATAAAAAGATGTTTAGAAAAAAATAATTTATAAAATAAGTTTTTAACTAAAAATGTGGATAAAAATAAATAAATAATATTTCTTTTTAATAAAAAATTATGAAAAGATAAAGAATAATTAGTCAAACACAAAATTTTAATTAAAAAATTATATTTTTGTTTCGTTTTGATTTAATATATTTTGGTTGATGTATAATATAATACAAGATATCGAAATGAAATAATTTTTTAAAAATAATTTTATATATTTTGTACGTTGCGGGTAAAAAAACTCGTATATTCTAATAGGTACTAAGCTAGATAAAATAATATTACCCATTTAATTTTGAATATTGACAATTAATTTATGAATATGGATAAAATAAATAAAAGAAACGAAAAATAAAAAGCAGAGCAACTCCACTCCTCCACGACTGAACGACCTTCACTCTTCCACCACTGAACCGACATAGCAATCTCGTCATCGTAGAATAGTACTCACCTCCAATCCTTCTCTAACATACCTTTCATAAGAACACGAACTTGATTTTCATTTTGCAATGCTTCAAGATAGCAGGGGTCAGCTAGAATACTTAGTCTTTCCTGCATTGTCTTCTCTTAAAAATGAGAACTTTAAAAAAAATGGATAGAGTACAGAATTAATAGGTTCAAATTGCATTTTATCTTTTATAATATTAAGAGTACTTCAAAAAAATTTATCCGACACTTAACCAAAAAGATTCATCGTTGAATTAAATCACCAATTTCATATTTCCTAACTAATGCACCATTCTTCAACGCATCCATTAAGAAGGATGAAGGCCAAATTAGTCCTTAAGACATCACTCAAATGTCAATGAAATTCTTAACAAAAAGCGAACTTAATTAAATCGTCAAAGTTCCAAAAAATACCCAACCCAACCTTTCAACATACTTGTCGGGGAAAGAAAAATAGAGCAATTGGACATTAAGATCCCTACAAACCAACATCATTATTAAGATTATTTTTTCGCAGTGAAGGAGCTGACCAGCTGAGGTAGACAACCAACATCATTTTTAACATCATTTCTTTCCAACGAAGTAGCTGACCAGCAAGGGCAGACATAGGCTCTCTGTCTTTTTCAGATTATGGATCCTGTGTTTCAATCATTAGCTCGCAGCGTATTCTAATCCCCACAATCTATAGAGTCAATAATCTAACAATTTTTGAAACGGCAGTGTGTCTCCTGTTCGACAGTGTTCAATAATCTAACAATTTTTGTTGCCTCTGAAATTAATTTATATGCTGCAAAGCAATTTCTTTGATATAAAAAAAGAGTTTAAATTGTGGAATACCAGCTAGGAATAGTGAAAAGGCCAAAGTGCAACACGCAATGATATTCTTGGATGTGCTTTTCCGAACTAATAATTAATTAATCAATAATACAGATTGATTAATTAATCGATGTGTTAAACTAATCCTATTAATTAAACAACCCTTCCCTCTTTTCCTTTTTTTGGCTTTTGCCTGCAGGTACCGTTAAATTTCACATCTGTGGTTCGAAATCACAAACAATTTTCATTTCAAAAAGGTGATACTTAACTCTCTTTCTCTCTATATATGATTTTGTAATCCTGGGTTTTATGTTGCCGACTCCGAACTCAGCTTTAAATAACTTTAAACGATCAAAAGCTTGTAGAAAATCTAACCATAATCTAAACAGTTAAAGCTTCTAAAAGCTACTTAGCTGAACTTCCAAGTAAGCTCAGATGCTAATTATTCCTTGCTGAAAATACGTTTAGTAGTATATATAGATAATGGCTCGAAGAAGGTAACAGCTCTTGTTTAATTAGTAACCTGTAGTAATTAGATAATGGCGGAAATGTTAACAATTAATTTCCCACAGGATGCAACCTCACCTTCTTCATCTAGAAGTCGTGACTGGCTGGCATCGATAATTGCTGAAGGCCAGGTAGAGACTGACAATCATATGCAGTGGCCACAGATTCCAAAGGTACCAGCTAGGCTCCGAGTGATTCAGTCAAACAAGAATTGCTACGATCCCATGGTGGTATCCATTGGTCCTTACCACCACGGGAAGACTGAACTCAGGGAACTGGAGAAGCTCAAGCTTACATTTGCATTCAAGCTTGTCAAAGATAGTGGAATATCCATTGACGATTTTTACTTCAAGGTGGCGGAGGTGGCCGACGATGCAAGGAAATGCTATGCTGAGGACCTAACAAATGCGATAGATAATGAGAAATTTACTCAGATAATGTTTCTCGACAGCTGCTTCATTCTCCAATTTATTTTCTGTCTCTTGCGCAGGCCTGAAGATCTGAAGATGACCGGTTACCAGGTAAATTTGGTTAAAAGGGATTTGTTCCTGCTAGAAAACCAACTCCCTTTCCAAGTCATTTGCTCACTGCTGAGATCGAGGTTCAGAGAAGAAGAAGGAGGCGGGAAGCAACTGATCAAAGATTTCATCAGGCACATTCGAGCTCTTCCTCCTCCACAACATTCATTCAAGGAAACGATGAGGGAGCTTGTCCACAAATTTATTTTTCCGAGAAAAAAAAAAAGTGGGGAGATAATCAAGAAACTGCAGACCACCCGCCTGTCCATCTCCTTGGACTTCTTCATGCCAATCACATCCATAAAGAAGGCTGCAGTGTTTGTTCTCACCAAACCAGTGACTGGTACTCTTACCGTTCCGCAAAGGACCTTAGGACCGTGGGTATCCGCTTTAGGCCAAACTGGACTAATGCGTACTCAAACGTCGAGTTCCAATCATCAGTCCGCGGTAGCAAACTAATACTTCCTCCAGTAACCATAGATGACTCATTCAAGTCCATGCTGTTAAACTTGATAGCCTATGAAACTACATCCTCTGATTTATCTGGTCAACTTTGGGTCTCTTCGTATGCATGCTTCTTAGATTCATTGATTCAAGATGTTGAAGATGTGAAGGTACTGCAATCGGAGGGTGTACTCAATATTTTTGTTCGTGAGCAGGAGGTTGCAGATCTCTTCAATCAGATGTCCAGAAACTTGGTGCCCAACCCTTATGCTTATAGTGATGTCAAAAGGAAAATTGAATTGGATCGCAAGAACATCACCAAGAAATGGGTAGCTGAGTGGCTGCAAACTTACTTTAGCAGTCCATGGAGCTTTATTGCACTTGTTGCTGCAACTTTAACCATTATATTAACTGCTATGCAGACATTTATGCAATTCACTGATGATAATTGTAGTTGTAAGTGCTGTTCACCAGCTAAAGGCACTTGACTGACTTCCAACTTATTAGATGTGTGTGAATTTGTTCTTCCTGTAAGAGTATGGCTTATTTTGGCTTTATGCATTTCTGTAATTCTTAATTTTATGTCTGTCGTTGTGCAATGAACTCTTTAATTTTATTAATTCTTAATTTTATATATCAGTCTCAGCATTGGTTTTGCTAATTAAGCTTAACTCTAGTGGTTAGACCCGTAGAGACTCTTGTTGCTTCTCTTTCTTAGTAGTTGGTTTTGCTAATTTTCTCCTGCAATCATTGCTGTCTTCTTATTTTTTCTTTTCCCTAATATGTTTCAAGCAATTTTACTGTAATATTTTTTCAGGGGTTTAGGCTTCCTTATCCTCCCATATGTTGGGCTAGGCTGGTTTGTCTCCCTTTGTTTTTTTTTCACGCTTTATTTAAATTCTAGGGTTCCGTCCCTGTTCTTAAAAAAAAAAAAAAAAAAGTCTCAGCATTGGAGAACTCTGAGCCATTTCTCAATCATTTGGCCTTCGGACAATCTTTTCAGTTGGAGCTTTTGAGATACTAAGGAAAACAGATATTTGTATTTTGCATGAGATGAGAAACACAAAAACTTGTAGTTATTTGCAAACACCTTCATTGCTGCTACATTTTTTTCTATTTCCACAGCAAATTTATCTAATAGCAGCAGAGGTAGGAGAAAATGTTGCAGCATATTATGATATTTGCGGAGAGCTACACGTTTTGCATTTCTCATCTCATGCACGTATTCAATTCATTGGTGGCCATATTTAGAAGGCAAGTTCTATTCAAAATGGGGTCTTAAACGAGATTCGGATTTTCAGGAATGATCAGAACCAGTCTCGGTTAATTTCTGCCACAATAAACCTCTACATCTCGTAAACAAATTCAAGTTACTGTACTTGTAGTCACCATATAATCTCAATTCGTCAGTGCCAGCGATATCCCTGCTTAATCTCTCTTTTATTCACAGGACACAAGAAGATGGAGATGCTGGCAGGTCAAAACAAAACAGCAAGTGCATAGAAGTGGTAAAGCGATATTGATGCTTGAAGTGAAACCTGTCCCTGACACTAGTTGGCTTACTGACGATGGGAGCAGGAATCTTTGCTTGCTTCCCATTTTAATTGATTCATCCATATTGCTCGCTTTCATACGCTCTCCTTTTATGTACTTACCTTCAAAGAAAAACAATGCAGGATCTGATAGCGATCCCTGTTTAAAGCCACATACATAGATTTTTTTGGGAAAAAAGGGAAGAAAAGAAAGAATTGTTAACTCTCTCTCTCAGTTACAGAATAAAGAAAAGAAATACGTGATGCAGAAGGATGCACAGCTGCAGCACTACAAAAGCTGTGCTTAGAGGACAGTTGAGCTGAGTGCCATCTTGAATTTCTTTCTTTACACAAAAAGTAGAGGCAAGCATGGATTGCATAGCTGGCATACTGCTGACAATATAGGCTCAAGCTTATGATAAGAAAAAGAATTGAATTCTCGGTATCCTCAACATCTCTCCATCACAAAGTAAAAAAAAAAAAAAACGAACTGCATTAGTTTGTCAGATTGCCTGTGGATAATATCAACTGCCTCAAGATACTGGAAGTGGTGAAAATGGTGGGAGTTACAAAGGATTCAAATGAAAATGCAGCGCTGTTGCCTGCCAATTCAATGAAATGGATAATTGAGAGGAAAACAAAATCTAAATAACAAGGACAAAAGAGAAGCTTTTATAACATGAACGGAAGTAAACCACTTCAAGAGAAACTAGCAGCTTGAAATATCTGCGTTACCAGTAGAGGGGCAATTTAAGCATCTGCTAGAATGAGCTTCATAGTGAAATAGATTGGAAAGTAAGAAAACAAAACACACCTAGCCCTTAGGACGGCTAGGATTATAAACTCAGGAGTTAGGAAACTGTGAATTGCAAAGACTGTACCAGTTCAAAACTTGTATCATTGGGCACTAAGGAATGAAATTTCGAGGCAGAAGACAAAGGATAAAAATGAAATAACTTTATCCATGCTAATTATTGCAGCTAATGTAATAAAGAGAACCGATTAATTTCATGAGCTATTAACGTGTCAGAAGATATATCCTGTACCAGTAAAAGAACTACCAGTATGGATCTTCTTCTTCATTAACCATCTATACTAAGATGCATATGTCTTTGAACTTACACTTACTTGATCACTTTTCTCCTTTACTAATTGCACATTATATACACACAATAAGAGAAATACCAGAAATCATGAGGAAGGAGTGCTGATTGAGACCCTCCAACTTGGTGTTGATTTCAACCGAATACATTGTCATGAAGGTACCCAATATTTGCTAAGGACCTGGACCAATGGCATGTGAACAAGGCTCTCATAAAGTGGTGAGTGGAGGTGGTAAATTACCAGAGTTTGTCTGACGTGTTTTATCATATTTTTGCCAAATTGTTACAGTGAAAGATCTAACCTAGTATTACTTTTTTCTATGCAAACAGTAAATTTGTCACTGTCTCACTCCAAAGTATACCAAATTATCCGCTTAACAAATCTGGGAAAAGAGGCAAAAGCTAGGATCCTTCTTGAAGTCAAAGCATCCTCCCAACAGAGAAGAGAAACACGGTTCAAGGTTTTTCCCTTCATCATGGAATAATTTCGCTACGCTAGCGAAATGCATAATCAGGTTTGGCGCATATACTGCATGATCTGAAAATATATCTGCAACTAATATAGCCACAGAAAAACTAGAATAATCAAAGGAAAAAAAAAAAAAAGCTACCTCGTAATTCTGGAGCAAACTAAAATCAATTTAGGGTACTGTTATAGATTGCATTGAAGAAGTAAACTTTCTCGTCTGCCATCAAGTGTCTATCTTTTTTGCCTTGCTCATACCACCATATACCTCCAACAAACCTGGCACTTTGTTTGCATATTTAGTAACATACCTCTTCCAGAAACCCTGCTCACCCTTTATCAGCAACCGTTGAATATTGAGGTTTTATTTAATGGGCTTCTTTGATACCAAAACCTTCAAAACATTATGCCTGGGACGAAACCTTCTATCAATTGAATAGTTGAGAAGATCGGGAAGTTCCATGATAGTTTGTGGTTCCAGCTTCACAGTATTCACCAAGAAATCCATGGCTTTCCTGATTTTCACCTAGGGTATCGCTTAAAAGCTCCTCCAAATCATCTCCTCACTCCATCCAACGCTCTTCATCACCTCAATTTTCTTCTTCCAATTTGATTCGCTCAGTCCTAACTTCACTCTAAGAGCATGTATAAACATAGGAGACTTTAATCCATGGCCCAAGTTCTTAAGAAAATTCACAGCACAAACCATTTTATCATGTTTTTTTTTTTTTTTTTTTTTTTTTTTTTTTTTAAGAGCTCGGGGGTCGTACGATAACAGTTTTGCTACCCTATCAAAAGGCACCCCCTCTTTTGTCAAAAAATCAATATTTGGTTGCAGAATACCTTTTAAATTAGTCATCAACAACCATGATGAACGCTTAACAGCCACAACAATTTTGTCATTGGCACCAAGAATGGACTTTAAAAGCTCAAAAAGCGGTTTAGTATGAGAATGTAAGGCCCTTGACAAAATTACCGGATCTGATACAATAAGTTGGCACAGAAGCTGAGCCACAAAGCCATTTTCTATGAGGAACTCCACTTTGGGTGTGAGATTCTCTTTCACTCTGTTTTGGAGGAGTTGGTGCCGCTTCAAAATCACTCTGGAAATATCAGCTTCGCTAAAGTGATTGATCTGTAGAAATGGAGAACAGATTGGGCGTTTTGGAGTTTATTTTGGCTGATTTGGAGCTTCTTGGAGACTGAGAGAGCCGAAGCTAATGAAAGCCCACATGAACTGATGAGGAACTCAACTGTAAACGAAGATGGTGATGCTGAATTGAGGGTTTTTGAGCTTATTTTGTTAGGTACTGGCAGCGGTGAAAATGATATGTTTGCAGAAAACATTTTTGTATCAAAGAAAACAAGTTTTTCATGTTAGACTTCGTTCCTAAAGCAAATTTCTGCTCTTTTCTTTTCTTTTAAAAAACGCAATGCCAGATAAACACAATCTAAGAATGCCAGATTTTAGAGAGAAATTGAACAGGAAAAATAAACAGTTTTTTCAGAGAAAAGGTTTCTGGGGTTGCCAATGCTGCAGAGGAAGAAAAAAGACATGAACTTAGGGATGGCAGTGGCCGGTATGCTGCTCAGCCCACCCATTAATTACTCTTCAAATGTATTCTAATATATAATGGGCTAAATTAGATAAAATAGTGATATCTACTTCGGGACAATTACGTTATGAATATAGATAAAATAAACAAAAGAAACTAAAAATAAAAAAGCAGAGCAACTCCACTCCTTCACAACCGAACCACCTCCACTCTTCCACCATTGAACCAACATTGCAGCAATCTCACCGTCGTGGAATAACACCCACCTTCAGTCCTTCTCTACCGTACCTGTCATAAGAAAACGAACTTGGTTAGTCCATCAAAAATGTCTCAATCAAGTCAAACCACAACAAATTCTTTTATGAGTAATTTAGGCAGCATTGATTTTCATTTTGCAATGCTCCAAGATAGTAGGGGTTAGCTAGAATACTCAGTCTTCCCTGCGTTGTCTTCTCTTAAAAAGAGAAATTAAAAAAAAAAAAATGGATAGAGTACAGAATCGGTTCACATGGCATTTTATCTTTTATAATATTATGAGTACTTCAAAAAATCTAATCCAACACTACACCAGGAAGATTGATCAATAAATTAATCACCAGTTTCATACATATATCTACGTATATTGGAGATATCTGATATCTTTATTTTCTTATAAAAAGAATAGACATATCTTTATCTTCACTTTTTTTTTCCCTAAAAAAGAACACAGAGGAGAAATAAAAAGAATAAACATATCTTTATCTTTACTTTTGCATTATAATTAACCATTGTGACTGGAGTACAAAATGGGCCCAAACCTATCATAGGTATGCGTTAATCATGGTTTTATAA